CACATTTAATTTTAGCAAATTTAACTCTTTTCTGTGCCTTTGTAGTGAACTGAAATATACAATTATATTTTGCATGTGCATTAATTACTGTACACATTGTATTTTCTGTAATATAAATTAAACTACTGTACTAATTTTAATATGCTGCTATGAATGGACTAAGAAATTTTTCAAGGATAACTTTCCCCCCACTTTTCCTCTTTTTTTTTTTCTTTTTTAAGAGACCGGTCTCTGTCACCCAGGCTGGAGTGCAGCAGTGCTATCATTTCTCACTGCAGCCTCGAACTCCTAGACTCAAGCAATCTTCTCATCTCAGCCTCAGGAGTAGCTGAGACCACCGGCCCTCACCACCACACCCTGCTAATTTTTCTATCTTTTGTAGAGGCGGGTTCTCACTCTGTTGCCCAGGCTGGTCTTGGCATCAAGCGAGCCTCCTGTCTTGGCTTCCCTGAAATGCTAGGATTACAGGTGTGAGCCACCACGCCGGGCCGTTACAATTATTTAACAACTCATGTGCCCACCTCCTCCTATAGGCTCCTATTAACCTAACTGCATGGAAGTGGTGTTGCCCTATCTGCTCCGCTCGCTAGCAGTAAGGATGGGTCCAGTTCTTTCCACATTATACAGACAGGACTAGGCAAAGAGATGCCTGCAGAGTACCAGCCTGGTGTGTCTGCTTGCTCTGCTTCTCTTCCCTCACTGCTGCCCAGCTCCCAAGTCCAGATCCACCCTTTTTTCCTTTTTATGGCTTCAAAGAAAGAAAGCGAGGACAACTTGGGAAAAGATAAATGTTCATTCCTATCTTTTCCTCACTGCACATTCAACCATCATCGCCTCTGGAGCAGCCAGAACCTGACCATTCTTCCACCTCCTCTGGTACCACCATCATCTCTCCATCCCCTGCCACCTCACTTGCTCCTTGTAAGGGACATCAGCAGCAGCCCACCTCACTTCCCCTCATTCAAGGGCTCAACCCTAGACCACATAGTCCTGTGCCTGTGGGAAGCTGACCGACCCCTAGCTCCAGGCAAAGGGGAGTGATGCATCTTCTCTGTAAGTAGTTGATTCAAGAATGGATGTGTGATACTGTCCAAAACGAGATTTCCCAGAGGCTTCTGAGAAGGTTCTTTTTTTCTTTTTGCTCTGTCGTCCAGGCTTGAGTGCAATGGTGCCATCTTGGCTCACTGCAACCTCTGCCTCCTGGGTTCAAGCAATTCTCCTGCCTCAGCCTCCTGAGTAGCTGGGACTACAGGCGTGTGTCACCACTACACCCAGCTAATTTTTTATTTTTTGGTAGAAACAGGATTTCATAATGCTGGCCAGGCTGGTCTTGAACTCCTGGCCTAAAATGATCCACCTGCCTCAGCCTCCTAAAGTGCTGGGAGTACAGGCATGAGTCACCGAACCCAGCCTGAGAAGGTTCTTCCTTACTCTTCGGAAGTGCTCTCATAAGGAATCTCTCTATCCCTTTGGCCAGAAGTACAAAGCAGGTAGCTCTCTGTGTATCAGACAGCCCCCACCAGACCACCTAGACATTCCAAGACTCAAAATGAAATGTCTGCAGTCAGCATAGCTGAGACCAGAACCAGAGTCATTGACAACATCACAGAGCTTGATCCAGGGCTAAATAAACCAACCCTGAAGTCTACATCACTTCTGAACTTCCCATTTAAAAGGCCAGTAAATTTTCTGAATAACCAGGACAATTTTTGATCACGAGCAGCCAAAGACATTTGATTCACACACCTTTAAACTATTTTCCACTCAGCAGCCTGGGTGAGCTTTTAAAAGGGGATCAGGTCATGTCAGTCTCTCTTCTAGGACCCTCCATTGCTTCCCACAGCAACCAGAATCAAATCCAGACATCCTACTAGAATTTGGCATTGTCTGACCTGCCTTCCCCACCTCCAACCAAACCCCTGCTACTCAGGCCAACCACAACAATTTCTCTCTTCCTTAGACACTCCAGACTAGTTCCTGCCTCAGGGCCTTTGCACCTGCTGATCTCTCTGCCTGCAGTACTTCTCCCAATCTTTGCATGATTGCCTCCTTTCCATTGCTCAGGCCTCAGTTCAGATAATAACAGGGCTTTCCTGATTTCCTGTCCATGAAAGCCCTTCCTCTCTCCTCTAGGCATCCACCCTCACCTCACCTTTTAAATTTTCTTTGTAGCACTTACCACATTTTAAAATGATCAGCTTTGACAGGACACGGTGGCTCATGCCTGTAATCCCAGAACTTTGGGAGGTGGAGGCGGGCGGATCACTTGAGGCCAAGAGTTTGAGACCAGCCTGGCCAACATGGTGAAACTCCATCTCCACTAAAAATAGAAAAATTATCCAGGCGTGGTGTCATACGCCTGTAATCCCAGATACTTGGGAGGCTGAGGCAAGAGAATCACTTGCACCCGGGAGGCAGAGGTTTCAGTGAGCCAAGGTTTTGGTGTGCACTCCAACCTGGGTGACAGAGTCAGACTCCATCTCAAAAAACAACAAGAAAAAGTTAAATTTTAGCAGGCCAGGCAAAGTGGCTCACACCTGTAGTCCCAGCGCTTTGGGAGGCTGAAGTGGGCAGATTATTGGCGGTCAAGAATTCAAAACCAGACTGGCCAACGCTTTGAAACCCTATCTCTACTAAAAAAAAATTTAAAAATTAGCTAGCTGGGCGTGTTGGTGGGCACCTGTAACCCCAACTACTCGGGAGGCTGAGGCAGGAGAATCACTTGAATTCAGGAGGCAGAAGTTTCCGTGAGCAGAGATCATGCCACTGCACTCCAGCCTGGGCAACAGAATGAGATTCCATCTCAAAAAAAAAAAAAATGTAGTAAAGGTTATTGTATTACCTTATCACTTTATTATTTATTATCGTTCAATCCCTTCATGTGCCAGGTCCCCCACCGAGAATGGGAGACAGGAGTTGACCAAGGTAAGCACCAGCCCTGTCCATAGATGATGGAGTCAGTAGAGGGCCACTAATATTGGTCCTCGAAATCTCAGGTTGAAATATAATCCCTAATGTTGGAAGTGGGGCCTAGTGGGAGGGGTTTGGGTCATGGGGGCGAATCCCTCATGAAGGGCTTGCTGCTCTTCCTGCAGTAATGAGTGCTCCCTTGCTCTTACTTCCACTCGCCCTATGATGTGCAGCTCCCTGTCTGCCTTCCACCATGACTGGAAGCTTCCTGAGGCCTTACCAGAAACCAAGCAGATGTTGGTGCCACATGCTTGTATGGCCTACAGTACTGTAAGCCAAATAAACCTTTTTTTTTTTTTTTATAAATTACCCAGCCTTGGCTGGACGCAGTGACTCACGTCTGTAATCCCAGCACATTGGGAAGCCAAAGTGGGTGGATCACCTGAGGTCAGGAGTTCGAGACCAACCTGGCCAACATGGTGAAACCCCATCTCTACTAAAAATACAAAATTAGCTGGGTGTGGTGACGCATGCCTGTAGTCCCAGCTACTTGGGAGGCTGAGGCAGGAGAATCACTTGAACCTGGGAGGTGTGAGCTGAGACTGCACCATTGCACTCTAGCCTGGGTGACAAGACAGAAACTCTATCTCAAAAAAAAAAAAAAAAATTGAGAAGCTGTCAAGCTCTTGGTGGCAGATAACAAGTTTTCCTAAAATTCTAATGCTCAACTCGAAAGCTTGAATTTTATCATTGGCAAAACATACTACCAGTTCTTTTCCTTGAAGTGACAGGCTCATTTTGTTCATTTTTGAGAAAATGTCTGCCAAATACTCGAGTTTAAATATCTGTAATTTGATGTGTCAGAGCTTTCTTCCAAGTAAAAACAGTGCTCCACGAAAAAAAAAGCAGCTAGTTGAGCTCGCAACTCAAATAATTGCACCAGTGTCTCACCTGGAAAAGCCATTGTATGCAGTGTGTGGCGGAATCGTGTTCTGTCACTCTCTTTGTCACAATCTTGAGAAATGGACTTGAGAATTGAAATTTAATAACACTAATTCTTACTGCTTCATCAGGAACATTCTTAAGTGACAGTGGATTGTTTTAAACTGTGAGTGCACTCGCGCCTGTAATCCCAGCACTTAGGGAGACTAAGCTGGGTGGATCACATGAGGTCGGGAATTTGAGACCAGCCTGGGCAACATGGTGAAACATGTTTTTAGTCTCCACTAAAAATACAAAAATTAGCCGGCATGGTGGTGCACGCCTGTAGTCCCAGCTACTAGGGAGGCTGAGGTAGGAGAATTGCTTGAACCCGGGAGGTGGGGGTCACAGTGAGCCAGGATTGCACCACTGTACTCCAGCCTGGCAACAGAGCAAGACTCTGTCTTAAATAAATAAATAAGCAAATAAGTAAATACAGAAATAAAATAAATTAGCCAGTTGTGGTGGCACACACTTGTAGTCTCAGCTACTCGGGAGGCCGAGGTAGGAGGATTGCTTGAGCCTGCAAAGTTGGGGCTGTGGTGAGCCATGATCATGCCACTGCACTCCAGCCTGGGTGACAGAGGGAGATTCTATCTCAAAACATAAAAATCAATAAAAAGTAAAAGTAAATAAACTGTGAGTGATGAAGAAGAAAACAATGACTGCCAGTATAGTCAGTGCCACTGACAAATTAATGTCAAGGCACGAGCAGTTTTATTTGCAA